CTATTCACTGACTTCTGTTGGGCATCGGGGCCAACTGCCTTTGAGGTCCTTTCCTTGCACAATGGATTTAAAATGAACTACCTTCACTGCATTTCGACACGTTTAACCAGAATACGGAAGCATACCTCTTTTGTTCCTTTGAGAGTCAAGCCTTCATGCCAGTCTGGTCCTAAGGCACTGCCTACATTATCAGCTTTTGTCCTTGCTTCCTTCTTCATTCCTAAAAAGTGAACTCAATGATATAAAAATTGCCTGGCAGAGAATTATTCCTGTGTTCTGCATGACTAAAGTAAGTGATCATCATTTTAATTTTTTTGATACAGACCTACAAAATGGATAATCTGACAATAAGTGTTATGTATAAACCCATTCAACTTATCTTTTGAGTATTACATATGTTAGTTAATTTGAAGGGTAAGAATATTAAATTTTCAAATTTTTTCAATTCTTAGTACTTCCAAAACTTACAAAATTCATTTTGAATTTTATAAGCCTTTTTTTTTTTTAAAGAAAAGCTATTAAATAAAAATTTTGTGAGGTTTGTATTCGTTGTAACTTTTAGAAAATATTTTAGGTACTGCTGAAATATACCAACGGTTTGCAACAATGATAAACTGATTTATTTTAAATTTCCCATTTTAATTGTGTGTGTGTGTATGTATATATACACACACACATATATAAGGAAATCTGAAAATTTCATGTAAAGATTCAGAAATAGCCACATTCCTATTTCCTAGGTATGTTTTACTAAATTTTTTTTTAACATCTCCTTTGTGTATAGTCAGAGTTTCATCTGATAATTAGTGGGCCAGATGCTATACTTACCTTTAGTGGTATATCTAGTTCTTTTGTGTGCAATTTTAGCCTCTGGTTTTTCAGAAATGAGTTTGGAAGTCAAAAATTCTGCTGCCCCTGCATCGAAGAAAGTATTCCCAATAGCTTTATCCTTAATGGCCCAAACCACTTCACAGCCTTCAATTTCATACCTGGAAGGAATTCAAGTTACTTGGAGTGTTTTCAGAAGTCTAAGTAGAAATCCCTTTCAAATAACAATTATTCCTTAAAGCAAATGTAAAGGACATATTTTAAGGCAAATCGAGAAAGACTGATTATTAACAGGGATGCAGAACACTTTAAGGATAGTAAGAGTTAAAAGGAGAAAAAATTTAATCAGAATTAGAAGAAATTTCATCAGTTCACAGAAAGAACCTACCTATACTGAATGTGAAGAAAAATTTTATTACAGCAAATATCATTTTATACTGTGCAAGATCTATGACAGTTACGAATGTCCTCTGGGGATCAAGGTACAAGCCGAACTTTATCAAGTTATAATGTGATCTATAGTGGATGGATGCTGTATAGCTAACAATACTGATAACAGTCAACCTCTAATTTCTTACACATCACATTATGTGAGAGAATGGAAAAAACAAGAGTCACAAGGTAAGTCTTCAGTTATAAACAATTATTACCTTGCATTAAATTCCCTTCATTTCACAAACTCCCAAACCATCTAGCCAAAGAAAGATCTAGCTTACAGGGAGATCAAAGACCTGAGGAAAAGACCTGTGGCCCTGGTAATAGAACCTACCTTCATTACTGTTCATGAGCTGACCAGAGCCCCCAGTGCACTTGTTTTATTTCTAGGTTTGGATACTGAGACTGTAGTATACGTTTACTAAGTTCCTAAAGTCTGTTATCATAAAGATGATCATATAATTTATCACACACCCAGGATACAATCTGCTATTAGTAATTATTTTGGTAAAAACACAGTATAAGTAGGGACAATCTGGACATCTTAACTATAATAGCACTCTTTTGAACTTGCAACAGCAATAAGAATTCTCTATATTAATGTATTAATTTTTAATATTTAATCCAAGTATTGCCATTGTCATTTCACAGACTGAGAGAATGTAACACAGGTTACATGACTTTTCAAGACTATTCAATAAACAGATGGTAGAAAACACAGTTTATTATATCTGACTCCAGGTTACCTGATAATCATGCTTTTTTACCTATGTCCAGTATGTCTTTATTTTTTTTCTCCAATGACAACAAACATTTATAGTCACTAGGTTTCAGATACTAGGAGAACATATTTTGTATTGTCCATAAAACAGCAGGAGATAGAGTACATATGCATTTGGTAATAAATTATGTGTTTACATATTAGCAGCCATGAAATGCTTCTCTTTTTATAAATTAGAAAATTCCTTTTTATTTCATTAGTTCCTATTTTCAAGTATAAAGCACATCAGTGTAGTTTAACATACTAGTGACTGACTACTAGGCATGGTTACTGTAAGGAGCAGGTAACTCCTGCACTGCTCCCCAGGGACACCCTCTGCTCCTCTTCCCACAGCAACTGTACTCCTGGCAGATGCACACACTCAGAGACATCATCACACACAGGCTAATACTCTTGAGTATTAAGAACCACTCTAAGACAGCAGCAAGGTATTAGCTTTGTAAAATTATGAAAGCTATGTCTATTTGGAAAGGAAAGGATTAACCTGCACTTGGAAAGAAGAAAAGAGACAGTAGCTGAAATAAAGGCATACCGATGAAAGCCAGTGTTACCCTCCATGTTCAAAGATGTCACTGTTCCTCATGAGACAAAGACCCCACTCAGAGAACCTTTCTTAAATAATCAAATAGGAGTTTTATCTAAGTAAACAGACTTCAGCCAACTTAAGGAAAATGAGGAGGGAATTAAACATGAGACTTTGAACATTTTTGAACATAGGCTTTTAAGTATAAATAACAGTAATTATATAGTAAGTGATACTTCTGTTGACAGCTGACAGGGAAAATCTGTCATGTGCACAGGGACTGAAGCCCCTCCTATAAGTCTGTACCCCCCGCCCTTTGGCCCATATTTTGGTTCTGACTCTGATTTACTTCGTATTTTTTTGGGTGGTACTGGTATTGGAAAACACAGCCTTGTGCTGCTAGGCAGGTGCTCTATTTCTTGAGCCACACCCTCAACCTTGACTCTGAGTTTCTCTGCATTTCTTCACACAAGGCCACAAACTTCATAATTACAATCAAGATTGCCACCCCTACTACTCAAGCAATTCATAACTCCTATAGGCTGTGGAACTAACCATTCTCTAAAAGACAAGGGCAAAGCATCTAGTCTGATAGTTGGAATGGGTGCAGTAAAGTGTTACAAGGCTTTGGCAAATTCTAATTTTGATTCACATTTGTCATCTTTGTGGTCTGACCCAACTTTCTGGCCTGAAAAAGATCCAGACTATTCCATGTTTCCATCTGCTGAAAGACAAAATTCACATGGAAAGTGAATCAATGTTCTGCAGGCCACAGCAGGATACTTCTCAATGTTTACTGAACTTGAAATATCGTCTTAAGATGAAACTATTTCATATAAATGTGCTGTCATTTCCCAAATCCCAAAACTAAGAGCTTGAGAGGATGGCACATCCTAAAATAGTCATAAACATTTGGCTTTCATGTCCAGACAGGAAACAAATGAGTGAAACGGGATGAGAGAAGCAATACAAAGTGATGGAAGAAATCTCTGAAGGTGTGCATATTGAAATTATTCTTAAACATAGTATATACGTAAATCTTTTCAGCCACGAGTACAGGACCCCTTGAGACCAGAAGCATTACTGAGCCTTTTATGTTTTATAAAGAACTTTCTGCAATCATGAGTTCCACAAAAGCTACATATGAAAAACATATTTATTGTTGATTTTCAGGATGTTTTCTAGTCTCAATAATCATATGAATCACAGCAATTCAATAATAGTTAAAAACATATACTTACGCTAACTCAAGTGCAATACCACCGTTCCCAATGATCATTACTCTTTTGGCTTTAGTAAGTTGTTTCTGAAATTCCTATATCAAAAAAGGAAATAATGAGAGGTTTTGAAACAATGGATAATACCTGAAGCAAGAAGCTTCACTGGTAATATTTTAAAAATGTAAGTATTTTATCTAATTTACAAAGGAATGACAAAATAAATCTCATTTTCTCACTCTGCCAGGATGCACCCTCCCAAGTAATAGGATACACATTCCCCTTATCTTTCACACCAATCTGTCTTGTAGCAAGGCCTCTGCTGAGTATCATAAGGATTACCAAGAGAACTAATGAGTACCAAGAGAACTATTGAGACGGCCTAGCTGAAACAGTTAAAAATTCAATGTCTGATAATATGAACCTAAATTTTTTTTTGGAGTACTGGGAACTGAACTCAGGGACATGCACATGCTAGGCAAGTACTGTACCACTTGTTATGCCCCCGGTCCAACCCTAAACTGCTTAAAGGAGACAATCAAGTTCTCTTGGTTTTTCTCTAAAATTCCTACAGGATTAAAAGCAGGCTGAAAGAAAGCATTAGCAATTTTCAAAATTATACAAATGCATCACCTCTTTGACAGAATGAGAGCTTAAAATACAACAGTATAGTATCAAGATGAAACCAGAAAGTGCCTCTTGGCAGTAAGAGTTAATAAACTGAAATAAATTTACAAAGAAGTTGCATAATGCTGAAGGTACAGAAGTTTCATTTTATTGGTTTAGTCTGGCATTGTTCTAGGGCAGAGAAATAAACCTTTTTCAGTTCTGTGATTCCATCATGATTTCATACCACAAAGATCTTATGAATATTAATTTATTTTCTGGGGAATAAGATCAGGAACGTGTAGATACATGTTGTCTTTTGAGAAAAAAGGTTGTTACGTTTAGGTTGTGCAGTAATAAATGTGGATAAAATGCTTGAACTAGAGCACAAGATAAATTATTAACTCTAGATAAACTAAGGCTAGAGTCCATTCTTTGGTTTATGAGTTAAAAAGTAAAACCCTCCCTGTGTTGTGATAGTTTAGGAATTACCACCACTAAGTGGAACACTTTGATACAGGTGTAGAAAGTCTAGGAATCTTCAGGTTCCATTCCCTAGACCCAGCATTAAGATGTTACCTGGGCACTGTCTGTATCACGGATTCCTAATACGTAAGGATTGCCTTCACATATCAACTTTGGTTTAGCTCCGGCACACAGACAGAGTTTCTCATATATATACTGACTGCCATCTTCTGTGAAAATGCACTGTAAACACAGCAATGGAAGGAATGGAAACATTTATATATGGGTACAATTTGACTGAAGTGAAATGTAAATTCAAGAAGACAAAAGCAAAAAATAATGTATTAAGATACCTCTTGGTAGCACTCAATACTTAGTTTACAGCAATTACAAAACCAGTTAAGCATGAGATCACATTCTCTAATACAGTGCTAAGTCATCTTAGGGGCATAAATCATTTTGAGAATCTGATGAAAACTATTCTTTCTCCCCTGGAATCAAAAGGTCCATTCACACAAAATTTTGCATTAAACTTCAGGAAATCTCATGATGTTTAGAAAGGTATGTTGATCTCAGATTAAAAACTAAACCCAAAAGAATTTTAATACTGAGCATTCTGATGACATTTTATCTGGAATGGGCCTCTATGAAGGTTTCTGATCTTGATGGAAGTTACTAAAAGACCTAGTTATTCTAATCATATCATATCTTAATATTTGTTAGGAGTTAGGGGAGTAGTGTGGGGTAGAGGTTACAATGTGTCTTTACAAAGATTAGATGTGTCAAATTCTTAAATATAGATAACAATAATTGTATTAGCAAACTGAATGCTTTAAGGGTAATATTTAATATAAGTAAAAACATGTTAATCTTTAATACTAGCATGCTATGAGTTCAAATTATGCATGTTAATTTTTAATAGCAATGAGTTTAAAGGTTTATATGAGAGACTGAGTGTTTTTATTAATTAATACTGGATGAAAATCTACTTACAAGCAGTGTCCTTTAGAAACCAGACAGACATAGTGCATGCTACTATGAGAAATGCTCAACTTTGCTGGAATGGCTCACATATGTGCCATGTGTTTAATTTATAAAAATTGACAAATAATAGTATTTATTATCCACCGAGACATTTATTACCAAATTTAACTTCTTCAACTGTATAACAAATACACAGCCAAAACACCGTACTTTATATAAAAATTTATACGTTTTTAGATAATTTAGTTAGAATTTCATCTGACAGAAATAGATGAACTTTAAAAATAATTCAAATTTAACAGATATAAAAACAAATAGCACAAACACAAAAACCCTTTTCATCAGCTACTATTAAGTTTTTGGAAGAAGACATGAAAGTGGAACACTACTTACAATTCCCTAAAAATCATGTAGGACAAAGGCTTTAGCACTGGATTAGACAGGTATCACTGGATTAGACACTTTTCAAATGGCAGCAGGAGGCACTGATTTCTTCAACTATCCTAATACATAAATTCTCATTTAATGTGTCAAGAGCCCACCTCAGTTTGCAAAATTAATCTACATGAAAGTTATCTGTAACTTCATAAACTTCATGTACTGTTCCTTTGTATCAAATTATTTGTGTTCCACTTAGAAATCAGAGCTACCTTATAGAAACAACTACGAACTCCACTTCCTATCTTGCCTGAAGTTCATCTGAGGATATCTGAATCATCTGATAACATCCATTCCTGAGAGTGCCTGCCTCATTCTCATGGACAAGGGGCTAGGGTCCTGCTGAGTTTACAGAAGCATCCCTTAATTTGGGACATTCTTCCTAACTACATTGTCCCTGTCTTAACTCAGACCCTATATCATTTTTGACAACTGCAGCTGACTTCTAATAAGACCACTGGACACTAGCTACTTGCTCTGTTAAGTTCATTCTCAACATTGCTGTCAGATGTTTCTTACTAAAAAATTATTTTATCAGCCCTGCTCCCATATTATTTCGAATGAACATAAAATAAATCCAACTTCTTAGCATGACATAAAAAGCCCTTGAGAACCTTACTATTCCCTAGCCTTGTTTGCCAGTCTCCTTTACTTTTTCACACCTAATACCTTTGATATCTATTCCTCCTTTCCTTTGGGTCTTTGAACATACAGTCTACTCTTTCTGTAATGTCTTTTTCTCTTTGTAGAACTTATAATTCACCCATCTTTAAAACCCAGCTCAGGGGTAGGTAGGAGGAACTTGGTCCAAGGCCAGCCCCAGTTGTTGTTGTTTTTGTTTTTTTTTTAATGAGAACTTATCTAAAAACAACTAAAGCAAAACAAGGCTGGCAGAGTGGTTCATACGGCAGAGCACCTGTCTAGCAAGTGCAAGGCCCTGAGTTCAACCCCCAATGCTGCTAATAAATAAATAAATAAATAAATAAAAATAGAAGAAGTTTTCTTAAATCCCTGACACTTCAGCTTTGGTAATAGTTCCGTGGTTGTACTTTCTGCATATCTGTGACTACACAGTATGCAAATCTATATCTCCCATGACATGGACAGCTCATAGGGGCAGGTACCCTGTACAACTCCTATTGTGTCCCAATACCCGATGCAGTGTCCACAGTGGACACTTCATAGAGAGTAATGAATTTGAAATGTGGAAACTAAAATTTTATAATCCCAGTAAATTCCCCAAAAGTGTGAATTTTCTAGTAAGGGAACTCAATACCACTGTACTTTACAATCTAAATGGTGGTGGTGATAGAGCTGGGGTCAAAGAACACTGGCAAAACCTCACCAAGACTTAACACTGGAAAATGTCATTTTATAAACATTGTCTTACGTGTTCTTCACTCTTCAGTTGCTTGACTCCAGATTCTATAATCTTAATGTTGGGAAAGCGATTTTCTAACATGGTACCTGGTTGTTCTTCAACATCAAATTCTTCCAATATTTTGGAAACCTTTATTATATCAAAGAGGTAAGAATGTATATATTTAGAAGATATTTTATTTGCAAATCCTTAGTAAAATATTTTCATTTGTTTTTATATTCTATCATTTCATGTTCATAAAACAAGAAAGTTAGCCAACTGCACTGCTATATCTAGATCTTGTATGTCCCCAAAAGGAACATGCTAAAGGTTTGGTGGCCAGCATGTGGTGTTATTGGGAGGCAGTGGAACCTTCAGGAGGTGAGGCCTAATGGAGGAAGCTGTGTCATTTGGGGGCATGACCTTGAAGAGGATATTGGGACCCTGGTCCCTCCTCTCTCCTTTGCTTCCCAGTCACCAAGACGTGAGCAGCTTTGCTACCACATATTCCAAGTTATGGTATTTTGCCTTCACACAAGCTGAGAAGCAATAGACCAAATGACCATAGACTAAAACTATGACCCACAATAAACCTTGCTTACTTTTAAGTTGATTATGTCAGATATTTTGTCACACAGATGGTAAGCTGACTTACACATGAATTTACAGCAGAAAGAACTAGGCTTTGGCATTTTAAGCCTTGAACTCAATTACTAGTCCTGTCATTTCTGGGCTTTACTTTTTCCCTGTAAAATGATAGTGGGTACTACTTACTTTTCTACAGTTTA